AACTTAAAGAATTTCAAGAATATCCGTGTGGCGTCGCTGGCCGATTCCCTGAGCTGCCTGACCGATGCTGACAGAGTAATTTCTTGCTTTCCCAAGTCCTGCTGGGCTCCTTCCCCAATGTATAGCTCAGGCGACATATAGCTGCCTTACCTCTAAGCCAGAGCCTCTCTTAGATCTGTTGTGTGTTTTATTTAGGATGAACTTCACACCCGGGAGGAAACACGGGGGAGCCAGGCCACGGTCTATAGGTTTTACCAACACTTGAAGTGCCGGCGGGGCTGGGTGCCGGATCTCATCGACGCACTGCGCCAGAACAACGCAGGGCACCTGGCCGATGAGCTGCAGCATGTATATGACACCTGGCAAGCTCGTATGTAGTCTCATCATCCCTCGGTGCTGTCCTGGGGGTCTGGCGGAGATGGAGACCCAAACCATGTCTGCTGGTGTCTGCTAAGCAGCGGGCTCAGGGTTCCCAGCGGCCTGGGGATGTCTGTGAGCATCCCCAGGGATGTCCCTCACATTGGTGATGGGCCTGAGGATGGCAGGGGCCTTGTTTGAAGGTGCTTGAGTTGGCAGTGGGCTGAGTTTCTCACCTGGAGGGGAGATGGAAAGATGAATGAAGGGGTGCTGTGGGCTTGGCCGATGTGGGGACAGAGCAGGGGCATGTGAGGGGTTTGCCTTGGCCCCATGCTCATCCTCTGTCTCCTCAACTTTTCCACTGATGTCCCTGCTCATTAATCACCTTGGCTCCTCCAGGTCCCCCGACTCCTGCTGCTGCCTCCTTCCCTCCTGCAGCCAGCGATACCCGTCCTGCTGTCTCCTCCATCGGTGCCCACACACCATCCCCAGGGTCAAACCTTGCTCGGGGTGCCCCGTTGGCTGAGCAGCCACGCCAAAACCTGCCCGTCGGCAGCCATCCACCTCCTATGCCCGGTGCTGCCACTGCCACGAGCACAGACCTGGATGCCAGGGCCCCAGTGCAGGAAACGGTGAGTGGGGCAAGTGTCAGATGGGGACACGAAGGTCCCTTTTGGACTGGAGTGTTGATGTGGTGGGGAGCCCGTGGTAGGGCCAGGCTTGTTTGAGGACACTCCAAGCAGCCTCTCGCTGTTGATCTCTGCCGCATGCTTGCTGCATCTGGTAACTTATAGCCCACATACGGCCCTACAACTGTTCCTCTCTCCTGCTTCCCCTCCATGGATGGGAATGCAGGGTCTACTCTGTTAGTCCGGACTCCCTTCCACAGCCCCCAACCCCGTGCAGACCTCCTGCGAGCTCTGTGGAAGGTGCCAAGGAGAGACCTCCTTCATCACCAGGCTTGCATGGGTCACTGGGTCAGGGTTTGGGGTACCTTGGTGGTCCCAGACCCCCTCATCCTGGCACAGTGATTTAACACAACTCATTTCCTTCTAGGTCCCCAAAACCCTCCTGGAGCAAGAGACTCCGCGGCCACCTCCACCTGGGAGCACGGTCTGTGACAGAGTGAGCAACAGCCACGGCGGAGAGGAGCATCTCTCGCACCCCATCGAGGCTGCGCAAGTAGCAGTGGGGACCTCCGTGGCAGACAGTGTGGCCGTGCCATCAGCTGTCCCCCCCAAGTCGGGCCAGGACTGGCTGCGCCGCCAGCAGCACCCGGTGTTTGTGGACAACGGGTGTTTTGGTAACGCCAACCACCTGCACCGCGGCATGCCGGGCTTGGGTCTGGGCAGGTCTCTTCCACCGAGGGATGCAGGCGTTGCTCAGAGCCCCGAGCAGCCCAGGAATGAGCCCGAAGAGGACTTCTACGTCTCCACTGAGTCACTCCCGAGGCTGGAGGAGGCTGCTCGCAGCAGGGGGCTGCAGCCCCCAAGCTCACTGCCAAAAAACCAGGCTGTGCCCGGCTCCGAGCATAGCCAGCCCCCGGGCAGCTTTGTGGATGTGCGCAGCCCCCTCCTCATACAGCAGCAGTTCGATGCAGAACAGAAGCGAGCTGAGATGCTGCAAGAACATGGAGGAGATGGAGGTGGGTTTCCTTCCTGGCAGAGCCATGTAACCACTGTGTGGGTTTCCTTCCCGGCAGAGCCATGTAACCACTGTGCAGCTGTGCTGATGAGGAGCAGGGCTGAAGGTGCTGTCGGATGCCCCTCACTACCAGACAGACCTTGAGGTGCTGGAGCGAGTCCAGAGAAGGGAAGCGAAGGTGGGGAAGGGTCTGGAGCACAAGTCTGATGGGGAGCGGCTGAGGGAGCTGGGGGGGTTT